CAGAACTGAACTTGGAAATTGTGACCTCCAACCACTTGGCCCGTTTTACACACGGGAGATATGACTCGGAAGCGATGAGGTCAGAGGCCAGAAGTGACGCCCTCAGAGCACGGTGGGGCCTCCTGCCCTTCCCCTCCCAGAGTCGTTTCCAAGATTCTGGGAACCAGAATCTGGCCGACACAGCCTGGGCAACATCCATGGGTCTTCTGGGGTGAGGCCTGCCCGCTGGGCGGCACTTTGAGAGGCCCCTCCTTTTCCTGGTCCCTGCACATGGCTGTGAAGGCCTGAGAACATCCAGGGACATGTAAGAGCCCTGCAGCCCACCCAGCCCCCAACCTAGGATAGGTACAGGGTCTCGTTTCACATCTGTATTTCTGGGGACACCCGATACCCAGGCTCCCTACGCCTTTTGTCCCTGTTGCTGGCATCCCCAGCAGGACTGAGAGCCCTAAAGGGTGACAGAAGGTGGTCAGAAGCCCATCACCCCTAGGTGGATGGATGAGCTTCGTGGAGGTGACTAGTCAGCCCAACCCCACAAGTCATCAGGGGCCGGGCCCATGGTCTATCCATGCATTCCTTCCTCCATCATTGAGTGTTGGCCAGGCGCTGGGCTCATCGCCAGACACAGGGGAATGGATTGGACAAGGCCTCTGCTCACAGGGAAGCTATGTTCTAATGGGCGAGACCAGGAAAGCACAGGAATATTCAAATCTGTGGTTATGGAATGGGCAGGTGTCAGGATGGCTGCAGCACCGCAGAGGAGGCCCTGGGCTGGGCCCTGCCTGGATTTGTGGGGATTAGACTTTAGGATGCTCAGACAGGAAGTGACCAGCTGGGAGGAGCCATCCTTGCCAAAGGGGGCAGCACCAGGGACCACGGGCAGCCCATCGCCTGGGAGAGATGTCTGAGGGTTCTGAGCTGGTCCCTAGGATGACCAGGCCCCCAAGGGGCCCCAGATGGCCCCTGCCTGACCTGGAGCCCCCCAGCTCCCTTCCCCTGCAGCCTCATGCAGGTCTCTCTCAGATGCATAAGGAGGTGGTGATGTTGGTGGGCGGGGCTGAACATGGAGACCCCACTGATGGCCCCTAGTTGTCTCCTTCTTGGTCATAAAAAAAAGAAGATTCAGGGAAAAAACTCGACTAAGCTGTAATTGTCAAATGCTCTTAGGAGGCTTACCACATACATTCCCTAGGCCATTTAGCCCACCTCCTCTTGTTGTTCAGCTAGGTTCTTTCCATGACAACCCTGCCTGGTGGAGGCCTTCAGATTCTGACTACCCGAGGAAGGCTCTGTGGAGGAGGTGGCATCAGGGGTCTTGACCCTTGAGGACCACATCCCGGTTAGGCACACAGTCAGAGGGAACAGCCCATACAAAGGCCCAGAGGAGTGACACGTTTGGAGGTTGGCGAGGGTCCCTGTACCCAAGTGATACAGGTGCTGGGAGGGGGTCCCTGAGGCCACAAGGTGGTGGTAGCTGGACCATCCATGCAGTTGCTGGGCAGTACCTGGGCCAGAGCGTTTGCAAGCAAAGGAGAAACAGGCCCAGATTTGCATCATGGAAAGTCTGAGCTTCGGGCCAAGCAGCAGGGTGGGGGATGGGCTGCAGCAGTAATTGGGTGGGAGGGGGTGGACGGAGAGGAGGGCCCCCTCTGGGGGTTTTCTGGAAACGAGGGGAAGCACGGGGTAGGGTGCAGTTCTCGGGAGGTGTGACACTCATTCAGGAGGTCCCCAGGGCTCTCTGTGCAGGAGCAGGGCTTCTCCTTGGCCTGTAGGCTTGTTGGCAGTGAAGGAAGGCTGTTGGCTGGAGAAGGAAAAGTCTAGATTCCTCCGTGTGTCCTGCCCCAGAGTCCAGTGTGGAGGCCTGCTCCAGCCCCCGGCCCCCACCCAGCCTCCTCCCTCTCCCAGGCCCCAGCGCGGCCAGACGCCGTCCACCCGCGGTGCCGAGAACCCTTTATCAGATAATAAATAAGGCGGCTGGAGCCGTCCGTGTCAACATCTTGGCGGGCCTCGCGGGGCATTGCAGGGGGGGCTGCCCCCCGTGGCTTCCACGTGGTCTTCGAGGGCCGACCCCCTCCACCCTGGCTCCAGTGGGACTGTGGAACTCACCAGCCCCCTCCTCTTTGGGGCTGGTTCAGCACCCACTGAGGTGCACATGAGCAGGACGGGGCACCCTGGGGCCTGCAGCCTCACAGTCTCAGGGGTGCTAGATCTCTTTGACCTCCTTTCCCCTCTGCTGAGTAGGGGTCTACGTGGGGGCTGGACACCCTGAAGGACAACCGCCCTGAGCCCTGTGAACTTCCCCCAGGCTTGTGGCAGAGGGAGGGCAGGGAGGACTGCACATCTATCACCCTGTCCCCCAAGGCTGCAGCCTGTGTGCTTGGTGGCAGAATGGCTCACCTAGGATGATGGCGACAGTAGCAGGTCTTGTCCAAGAAAGGCCCTTATCTGGTCAGATAAAGAGTGGGTAACCTGCACTGCTTCCTCCAAAGGACGATTTTCACTTCTTAAGAAGCACAAGATGTTTTCAGATGAGAGGCTTACAGAATTGGCACCCATTTTTAAAGAGCCACGTTTTTCAGTAACGAAGGGAAAACTAACTTTGGCCCCAGCCCCACCAGGAAGCTCAGGGGGCCTGGGCACAGCTAGACACGGTGGCCTGGCTGCCCTGAAGGGTTGAGCTGGTGCAGGCAGCTTGCGTGGCAGCAATGCCCCAACAAAAGGGCCCACAGGATGGACATGTGCCTGCTGCGTACAGGGGATATACTGCTGTGGGCAGGGGATATGCTGCTGACTAACGGCATCATTTTCCCCAAGACTGGGGAAAGCAGAGCAAGGGGAGCCACTGGGGATCACCACCCTGACATCCTCTTCGAGGATGCCCAGCCAGGCTGGGGGAGGAGCTGCTGTGCTTCCAGACTGCCCTGGGATGCTGTCAGCTTCCCTGTTCTGCATCTGGAGTGAGGCAATAGGTTAAGAGCTTTAAGTGGGGAGAAGGGTGCACTGAAAATGCTTTTTCTGGATAAAAAACCCCAGTGCCCCTGGGTCTCCCTGTTTCTATGCCATGTACCCAGTATTCCAGCTTCCCCGGCCAGTATGATCTCCCTTCCCCAGGCACCCAGGACAGAGCGCAGTGGGGCTTGGTGGACACTTCCCATGGACTGAGGGAGCTTCCTCGGCTGGAGGAGCTGTGGCCCCCTCCACCCAGGCTCCCTGGACACTGCTCTAGTTTGAAAGACGTGGGAAATGAGGTGCAGGCAGCAGGCAGCACAGATGAAGTGGCCTTTCTTTCCGTCCTGTTGTCTGATAAGCGGCCTGGAGCTGCCCACGCCTGCCAGCATCCCCGGCTCATCCGGTTGTTTATGGCCAGCTGGGCAGAGCCGCGGGGCCGGCAGGCGGGAGGAAGAGCTGCAGGAAGTGGGGTGCCAGGCGGCTATATTCAGGCTCTGGTCCTGACAGCTTCCGGGTCCTGCAGAGAGGCTGGGGAGAAAGGCTTTAACTGAGATGCCCTCCCCTGAAGCTCCTCACGTCCAGAGGTGGGGGCTCAGCCTTCCCCATCCCAGGCTCGTCCTTAAAAATGATGAAAAAGAGGAAGAGGTGGCCTCTTCCTTCCTCTTTGCCAAACACTCCTTCCCAGGACCTCTCTTCCTGGGTGGGGCGTCCAGCCCCCTCCTCCCTATCGCATTCTGCTCACGGAGCTGCGGGCACCTCCAGGAAGACTTCTCAGGTCGCTCAGGGCCCTGCAGGGGCCCTGCGCCTTGTGTCACCTCTCTGAGCCACCTGCCACTTCTCAGGTGCTTTTTCTTTCTCTGGGGAGGAAGATCGGAGCTTACCCTTCAGAGGAAGGAGTCGGAGACTCGCTGGTCCACACAGGGTGTGGTGCTCACTTGGAGGAGGGGTGCTCCCACCACGACCACCGAAGTGGTGGCCCTGTCTCATGGTTCTCACCAGGCACTCCCCGCCACCTCCTCTGTCCGCATCACTCCTTCGCTCTGCAGGGGGATGTTTGCTGCCCCTCCCCCTTCCCTAGAGCCCCAGGCCAGGATAGGGACAGGGGCTCGACTGGGGTCTGCCTGACCTCAAAGTGGTGACTTCTCAAAGTGTGGTCCCTGGGCTGCTCCACCCGGTGTCCTGCCCTTGTGCTGGTGGCACCCTCAAAGGTGCCCGGTGTTTAGGGGCCTCATCAAGTCCTTAGGAACCCCTGGCACAACCCAGGATAGCCAGTGAGGTCCTGCAGCCCGGCCCCCGGGGACATGTTTCTGGAAGGAGAAACGACCTGAGTGGATCCTAGCAGGCAGGGGTGAGGCCCAGAACCCACCAGTGATGGGGAGAGGAGAGCAAAATCAAGTTTTTATTTTACATGTTTTCTGACGGTGTCGTTTGTCTTAAAAAAAAAAAAAAAAAAGACAAGGTCATGTGGAGACGCAGTTGGTTGAATCTCGAGGTACAGACTCAGGATGAAGGGACACATTCAGGAAGGATGAGTGTTCTTAAATACGAAGGAGACGTTTTTACATAGGATAGCACGACAGTGGCTGTTTTAGTTGATTTATAAAACTTAAGATTTCTGAATCAAATTGGGGGTTGGAGGTGAAAGCTTTCAATTGGAAGATTTTACATTAAAAAAAGAAAGCCCAGTTTCTGGCTTCCATGGAAAAATCGAAGGTCTTGTTGGTGAAGGGCAGCTGCAGGATGGGAGGGATGGAGTGGCCCTTCTGCAGGGGGCCCCACTCTCCGCTGCCTCTGCCGTCAGGCTGTGAACCTTTGTCAGCTCCTTGGGCAGAGGTGCCTCTACCCAGCACAACAGCTAATTTGTCATCCAGCCCTGGGGTGGGGGATGGCTTTGTAAGTGAAAGGGGGTGTTATTGGTGATGCTGCTGGGACAGACCCAGATGAGCCAGGACCTATGGTCACCCCACCATCGGCCCTGAGAGTGCCCCTGTGGGTCAAAGCGGGGGTCCCAGGTACCTTGACGTATAAAATGGTCACAATATAGCCACAGATTCAGTCAGAACAAGGAAGGCTCTTTACTGCCCTGTCTGGGGAAAACCATACAAATAAATACCAGTCCACGATGACTACAATGTGATTGGCCCCTTGGGGTGGCATCCTGGTACAGTGTACAACCTGGCCATCTGTCCCTGGCTGTCCCATGATCCAAGGAGGGCAAGGTCTCCATGTCGTGTCTCTATCCATCAAACATGGGAAGTGGGAAGCCTGAAGGAGGCCAGGGAAGCCCCGTGTCTGGCAGCCCCCTCGGCCCCCGCTGCTGCCTGGCCTCAGTCGTTTCACCTGTAATCTTGGTTTTACAACAGGAAGGTGTTTTTTCCTGCTGCTACAACCTGTAAACATGACGATGGCAAGTGTTGACGACGGAATTCAAGTGGGGGCTGGGAGCCCTGGGTCAGCCAGAGCCTTGCACATCACTTGAAGGTCCCTTGCTGTCCAGGGAGGGGGCTTGAGCCCTCCTCCCATCTACATAGGCCATGGCCGCCACGTTGAGGGACACCCAGCTCTTCCAGGTCCAGCTGGCTCCAGTCTCTTCTAGCAGCAGGCCTGGTAGTCTCCTTTTGTGTTGGAGTAAAGAGGCAGCAAGATGGGTCCATGGGGTGCCCAGGTACCTAGGCTAAGGCCAGTGCACACCAGGCCTCCTGGCGCAGGGCCCCGCCAAGGCCAGCCTGCTGGCCCAGGGCTGCAGAAGGCAAAGCAAAGTCCTCAGGCTCGAATTTGAACTCCAAGTGGCTGGGGGCCAGGGGGTCATCCACCTGTGCAGAGCCCTGAAGGGAGGACGGGCCATGTGTGAGCCTTGGCAACAGTTGGCTGGCCCACCTGAGGGTGGGAGCCCTTCAACAGGAAGGTCTGCCCTAAGGGGCTTCCTCAGCTCCTGGAATGGGGTGGGCACTCCTTGTGAGGAGCGATGTGATAACCTCGGAAGGGTTCTCGGTCAGCGTTGGCCACAGGGCACCCCCCGGCTCCATCGGCCAGCTGTGTGTCCAGCCCTGAGTTTCCAGGAGGGGCCCATGGGTGCTCTGACCTGGCCAAGATGCCAGGGATCCTCCTGGAAGTGCTTGGGAACCAGCTCTGCGCACCCCACCCAGCCCATCTTCCTTACCTGGGAGGTGACACTGGGCCCGGGGCATGACGGGGATGCCAGGCTGGGCTCGGGCTTCAAAGTGGCTGCTGAAACCTCTGGGTCAGGGACAGAGGCTGGTGGGGAGGCTGTGGTGTGCCCTGCAGACCCTGGTGGGGGTGGGGGAAGATGGGGCATTTATAGACACTGCAGATCTGGTAACATGGGGTGGGGGTGGATGTGGCCTCCTCCACTGGAGCCTCTGCCCCACGCCATGAACTCAGGCCACCCCAACCCCTCCCCCAGCCAGAACCATCCCAGGGCAGTGGCAGGGACTCGCACTTCAGGAAGATGATGCTTGCACCGAACATGTGAATTCTTAATGGTGGAATGTGAAGCACCCAGAGTGATTCCCCATGGGAGGCCTCCCCCAGCCCTGGCCCCCGCACCTGAGGAGCCCTTGGTCTTGGCAATGTTCTTTGGCTTCCGTTTCCGTGTCTGGATGCTCTCTTTCTTCATTGCCAGGGGCCGTGGTACCTGGCAGGGCGGCAGGGGTGGATGGCTAGTCACTGTCTGCGGTCACACCTGTGGCCTCTTGCACGGCCATCTGCTCGGATCTCAGCCCTGCAGAGCTGGTCACTGCTGTGGCCCTGTTTGGGGAGTTGCTAACCCCCAGGCTCAGGGCTTTCCTTCAGGCAGGGTGGGGCGAAGCCTGTCCCACCCCAGCCTCCCAGGGCTGGGGGCTGGAGGGTCCAGAAGAGCCCTGGGGGTGTCTAGCCTCTGTCCCAGGCTGAATGGCTGCAGGGAAGCTGCAGTGAAGCTATGGTTTCCGAGAGCCCATCTATACCACCAGTCTAGCAGTAACATGTGTGCATGGTATGGGCAGTGAGGCCACTTGTGTACAGGCGTGTACCCGCTCAGCCTAGGCCCCGCCTGATCGACACCCTACCCGGTTCCTCAGCCCCGTCTCGGGCTGGGGATGCACTTGTGCCGGCAGCCCCCCCATGGCCCTGCTCACCCCGTGCAGCTTCATGTAGAGCCCGCAGGCGTTGCACACTGGCTCGCCGTCTGCGTTGCGCCGCCAGAGGGTAGTGGTGGTGGTGTGGCAGTTGGTGCAGCAGAGGCCAGCCCGGCGGGACGAGGACTGTGGATGGGAGGCGGGGTGAGCGCGGCAGGTGCAGCCGAGCGGGAGGATGGGCACTGGGCTCAGGGCTGACCAGTTATGGGGTTGGGTATGCAAGGGGCTGGGTGAGAGGCCTTTGGGTGCTAAAGTCCTGAAGCTGCCCAGGATTCCTTGTGGGCAGGAGCTTTGACCTAGTGCCCAGGAGCCCTGGGACAGGTCACTTCACCCTTCTGGGCTTCAGCTTCCCTATCAATAAAATTGGGGTGACAGCAGACCTGCCTAGGTCCATTGTGGGGTCAGGATCTTGTGAGGAGTGCAGGACACCCAGGCTGCTGGGTTTCCATTGTGGCCTCTTTTTAACCAACCCTGGGCTTTCACTCTGTATTTCTGTGGTGGAACAGCACCCCTAGGGGCCACAGGGCCCCCTCAGGTCAGACCCCAGACTGAACATTCAGGGGGCCTGCCTCTGAAGACTTGGGGCTCTGAGCACATGCTCAGCTCAACTGCTTGCACCAGACAGTGGGCAGTGGGTGTCCACATCTGCCCTTGCTGCTCACTGACCTGGGAGGGAGAGTGGGGCCTGTCTGGAGACCCCCACCAACCATTCCCAAGAAGACACAGACCTGGAAAAGCCTCATCTCCTCCCTCCCCAGGTTGGGCAGCTGTCAGAGGTTCAGGGAATCCACCCTGTTTAGTCTGAGGTCCGGCCTCCGATCTCCAGGGCAGGACTCTGCCTTGGGATTTGGGGCACAAAGGCCAAGACAGAGAAGGGACGAGGCCTAGGAGGCTCTGGAGGGAGGGCAGGGCCGGAGCTCCTGGCCTGGCTGGAGAGACCCCACCCTCTGGCCGGCGGACTCCAGGCCACAGCTGTATGGGGCCTGACATCCAGCCTGGCAGGCATCACCAGTGGTCTCCCTGGGGGCGTAGGGGTGGACCTGTGCCCTGGTTGGAGTGCAGAGAGCTGGTGGCCGGCCTGGGCCCAGCAGAAGTGGAAGGTCAATGGTGGCCGCAGCCCCAAGGCAGATGCTGGGACAAGGCCCTGACACAGGAGCCCCAGCCCCCCAGTCAAGTGGCCCCCAGCCTGACACCGCCCTGGAGAGCTGGCAACCACATCCTGGCCTTGTCTAGAGAGCAGTTGCTTTTACTGAACACTATTCGAGTCTCTCTGCTCCCTGCCCTCTTTCCTCCCTTCCATCTGTCTCTCGGCTGCAGGGAGCTATGCCCAAATGGAGGCGCAGCACCCCCCGGAGCCCACTGTCCCGCATGAGGCAGCATCTCCTCCCATCCCTGCTGCCGCCCCCGCCCCCCCCCCCACCACGGATCCAGAATCTCCTGAGCCCCCAGTCCATTCATTTTCTTAATATGGAAGAAGGTTCCTGGGACCCCCCCAAGGTTCCTAGATTGAACAAACATGCAAACAGGATGCCCAGTTAGAATTGAATTTCAGATAAACAGTAAATATTTTCTGTAAGTACACTCTATGCAATATTTGGGACACATTTAAAATGCTATTTGTTGTTTATGTGAAATTCACACCTAACCGTGCATTTAGTAATCAGTCTGGTCACCCTGACCTACCTTCCCGGGCTACATCATGGTCCCTTACTCCTGATGTGCCTTCAGACCAGGAGGACCATGGCCTGAGGCCCCTCCCCTCCAAACCAGCTGGGACCCTCAGGGGCTCTTACCAACTTTTGCCCCCTTAGAGTTCACACAGCCATCCCACATTCCAAAAAAAAAAAAAAGTTGACATCACTGAAACTCAGGGGTCACAGGAGTGCTGTCTCCTGGGCCGTCTGGCCACTTCCTGCTAAAATCCTTCCTATAGGAACACTATCGCAAGGGTGTAAAGAGACCCACATGAGGCCTTCATGCCAGCACTGTTTTCAACAGCACACCACACAGCTGCACACACATGGGCACCACTGCAGACACACGTGCCCCCACGTGTCCCCCAGAGTTGCCCATGTATCTAGGAAGCAGCAGAACTATGCGTACCAACTCGGGTGGTGGGGGGAGCTCAAACTTCCTCAGGTGGACTGAGCTCAGGTGGTGGGAACCCACCACCTGGACCCTGGGGCTATGGCGAAACCTGAAAGTCACGTTTGAACATTTCTCCAGTGAGCATAGGCTAAAATCCATAAACTGGAAATCAGATTAAAATCAAGAAAATGGGTAAAAAGAATGGCCTTGACAAAATTCTCAGACGTGTTTGTTGATTTATCTTTTTCCATCCCCCCAGTGCCTGCTTCTTACAGGGGGTGGGGAACTGAAGCTCAGACAACGAGGGTGCAGGGCGCGGGGGTGGTCCCAGGGTGGACAGAACCTCCTCCCTCAGCTGAACACACCCCGTGGCCACATCCCCGGGGCCATTTGTGAACACCCAGGGCCTCCCTCTGTCCTTCTGCATTCACGGCTAGGCCAGGCGGCCAGGCCTGGCCACTCTCAGGGCCCCCTAATTGCTGGTCCTCTCCAGGCTGCGTTTTCTTTTTCTCTTTCAGTCAGTTCTTTTCAAAAGAAGTGGAAATTCAAAGCCAGTGGCAGAGCTGGCCTGAGTGCCAGGTTCCACAAGGATCTAGGCATCCAGAGGAATGAGGGTAGGGGGCAGCTGGAGCCAGGTGGGGGTGCTGGCAGGGATGGGGGGCTCTGGAGAGGGTGTTGGGAAAGTAAAGGCTGCAGGCGGTGGAGCAGCACAGATGCTGCCATTTCAAACAGGTCCTCCGCATGCTCTTGGCAGGGAGACCTGGGGACACTTAGCCTGATGGACTTGTGATGGACGTGGGAGCCCCCCCGCACTTGGGGCAGCAGGTGCTGGGGATTCGAGGCTGTGCAGGAAGGCTCACCCGGGGCTGGTGAGTGTCCCAAGGAAGCTGGGCTGTCCATGGCACAGCCATGACCTGGAGCTGGGGCCAGAACCAGCCTCAGGCTCACAGGCCTGTCGTCCTCAGAGTTTGGCTTCTGGGCTCTGATGTTCAGGGGTCAGGCCAGGACGAGTGGCACTCGCAGAGACCCTGGCCGCAGGCACACATCAGCAAAGCCACTGCGACAACCCCCCACTACTCATCTTCACTGACAGAAGCCTTGGGTCAAAGGTGTAAGCCCCACCCTGCGACCCAAGATACACACAGGAGGCAAAAGGTAGAACAGCCAGGGGCTCCTGCTGGGAGGTGGGGGATGCACACTTGTCATCGTCACATTCCTGTATTCTTGGTGACAAGCTTCCAGGACATTTGGAATTATTTAAAGGAGGGCGAGACCAGCTCTTCCTGGAGAGGGCCCTCCTGAGCCATCACTTCTGCTCACACTCCAGGGAGAGTGAGGCCCCAGAGTGGGGGCAAGCCTGGGGTGACCAGCCCAGCACCTCCTTGGCCAGGAGCACATGGGCGGCACTCTGGCCTCGGGACTCTGAGAATCTTGGGGTTTTCACATGGAGCCTGGCCCTGCAAGGACCAGCCACCCGGTGAGCGGTGAGGCCACCCTGCAGGCACCCTGCAGCCACTGAGAGGAGCCCCCTAGGAGCCTGCTCAGGGAGACACGGGGAGTACAGGGGCCATGAGGATGCCCTGAACCTCAGCACCGCTTGGCAAACACTTCCTGGGTGTGTTTTATATTCAGGTTCATGTGGGCCTGGACTCAGGGCAAGCAGAATGCTCACCCTCCAGGCCCTGCAGCCTCAGGGAGATGAGCAGACATGCAGGAATTCCCCCACCCTAGATGGCACCCCAAAGCTAATTATTTCATGTCCCCAGACTTGGAAACAGAGGTTTCACCAGGCCAAGCGCCTGTCTGTCCTCAGCCCACCCATGGCACTGGCCACGGCTGTCCAATTTCCCTTTCCAGCAAGTAGTGGGCAGTTCCTGAATTCAGCTCGCAGGGGGCTAGACAAGAAGACCCAGGGCAGAGTCAGGAGGCTCAGCGTGAGTGGGGCATTGTGGGAGCTCGAGGCCACAGTCCTGGTCTGAGCCTGGGGTTGCCGCTAGCCGGCTGCGAGTCCAGGGAAGCCCCTGGTATTCACCTGGCTGTTGCGAATGCAGATGCCTCAGTGTGCAGATGGTGGCCTCTGCCTGCCCACCCCCAAGTTAGGAATTTGCTGCAGGGAGGTGAGCCCTGCAAGGGATGAGGTGGAGAGGATAGCCCACCTCTCCTGTGTACTCGGCACCCAGTTCAGGGCTGACCCCAGAAGAGCAGAGGGAGTCAGAAGAGGGAGCCAGCCTGGGTCACAGTCCCCTAGGACCCTCTCCCTTGGCCTCAGTTTCCCCTTCCCGGAGGCCACAACAGACATTGTCTGGGCTGTGGGCATGAATACAGGCAGACACAACAGTGGGGGTGCTGTGAACTCTGAGGGCGACCCTCTCTGTGAGCGGAACCACATGGGTGCAGAGAGGTGGGGGACCCACAGAGCCTCCAAATCCAGGCCAGATCAGAGGAAGAGAAACAGCAGCTGCCCTCAAGCCGCTGACCGCCTCAGTCCTGCCTCCTGCCCACCCGTTTTGGGGCCTCAGAGCGCCCCGCCCCGGTGTCACCATATCTGGGGCTTCACGTTTCCAGTAAAGGCCTGTGACTGACTGCTCCGTAGCCGGGGCAGGCCCATCCCACGGCATCTGCCATGGAAAGCCCTTCCACACTCCAGGGCCTGACACACCAGAACCTGTAGGGCTTCCACAAGCCTTAGCCCGGACCTGGGAAGAAGCCCCTGCGACCCCCTGACTTTGGACAGATGGAATTACTGACAGAATTACTTGACCATCAAAGTTTGCCTGTGAAACGGCAGAGAACAAAGCAACTTGAAACCTTTACACGGCTTCTGGGGACTCTGCCCTGCTGCGGGCAAAACTCGGGCGCCCAGTCCCCTACTCGCTAACTAGCCATACAGCAGAGAGAAGCGAAAGTGAAAACGAATCTCCCCCAGCGAACGACCGCACACCTGGTCTGGACCCATCCTTGCAGTATCAGGGGCAGCGGTCCCAGTGTCCCTCCCCTGTAAGAGTCACTGTCAGCCAACAAAGCCAGCATCCAGCGGCCACTTTTCCCTCCAGTCCCATCTGAGAGCCAGGTCATCTTGCCTCTCCACCGCCCCACCACCTGGCAGCCCAAAGGCCCCAGAGTCACAAGGCTGAGTCCCCAGCCGGCGCACAGTGATCCCCGGCACAGGAGGTTCAGTGTTGAGCTCAGAGCAGCCCAGCCCCTTGGGGGAGACCCCACAGACCCTCTGGGGGAGCAGGCCCCAGCACAGGGGGACCGAGGCAGTGGGCCAGGTGCTGTCATCCTGCCCGAGCCTCCCCTCCGCGTCCCGGAGCTCCACTGGCTCCCAGGCTGTGATCGAGGAAGACCGGCCCGGCCGCCCGCACTCACCAGGCGCTTCTGCGGCCGCACGAGGGGCCGGTTGACACCGTTCATCTTGTGGTAGAGGCCGCAGGCGTTGCACAGGTAGTGGCCGGTGCCGTCGCGGCGCCACAGCGGCGTGGACAGGGCCCCGCAGTTGACGCACTCACGCCCCTCGCCCGGGAACTCCTCCAGGAGCTCAGCTGCTGCGGGAGCAAGGCGGGCGGCCGCTGGACGAGGCTCGGGCCCTTCCTGGGAGCCGCTGAGCCACCGCGTTCACACCACCTTCTCCTTTCCTTCCCTTTTGTGCCTTTATTTTGCTAATTTACTTTGTCTAACTTTCTTTTTAAGTTTAAATTCACACACAGCGATGTTTGTGCCAGATTTAAGTCACTCGTCAGGGATGCTTTATAAGTGGGGGGAGAGTTAAAAAAATGCAACCCTGGGTAGGGCAACGGGAACTAACTGCCCTACTCGGAACAGGGTCCAGCATCACTAATTTTGACCAGTGGGGAGGCAGGAGCGTCTTCACTGGCAGAAGACCCACGCCGGTCGATCAGAGGGGCAGTCGGGGATCGTGGGATCCTACAGAGACCGCGGTGCCTTCACTGTCAGCTTTCATGGTCTTGGCACAGTCCTCCCACTCGAGCAGCACACACGGCCACAGCGGCGCGGCCTCCAGGCCCCTCCAGACCTGGCCGGGCGCTGGCGACACTTGGGCGGCTGGATCGGGTGGGGGCGGGGCGGGGATCAATCATCGCCTGGCCGGGGGTGGGCGCCAGGCGTGGGGCGCCTCGGCGGCCGGGTCAAGTGGATCCCGCTTCCTGCGCCGTTGCTGCCAAGGAGCTGAGGAGGAGTGTAGGCTAAAAGACCGAAGCAGCAAAAAAAAAAAAAGGAATGGCCCTTGGTTTTGGGGAAGCAGGGGTGAGAGTGAGTCGGTGGCGCCCACTACTCAGAAGGGGGGTGGGGAGCAATTCTCAGCTTTACAGGTCTGGAATCCGATCACTAAAATTTAGATCCCAGAGAGGGACTGGAACTGGGTCTCAAATTAGAATATGTAAACATTTTAGAACAGAGACGAATGTGGTGGTTTACTTAAATAAACGAGAATTTTGAGCGTTAAAAAAAAAAGTCATTTCCCCAACTTTTCATAAAAACCATTTAAGACATAGGCTCTAAATGGTATGATCCCAGGATACTGGTTTGGATGAACGAAAAGTGAAAACACAGATCTGTGTATAAAGGATCTCAAGACCGGGTTTTCATCTTGGTGTGGGTGAGGTGCCAGCAGCCGCGGGTTTCCACCCAGGTTTACACGTTCCCGGGGGTCTGGGCCTGCCCCAAGCTGGTGTCCCACCTGGCTGAAAAAGCCCTGATTCTGGAGAGGGGGGCATTTCGCAGGGTGCGGGTTTGCATCCGGGTACCGCCAGCACCCAGGACCCTGGTCAGTGGAGCCAGTTCCCAGTCCCGCACTCACCGAAGGTGGCCCTGCGGCCAGGGAGGCCAGCCGGGAGGCCCTGTAAGCTGTGCAGGACGCTGCCGTCCAGGGGTCCAGAAGTCCAGGACGGGGCCACTTCCGCGCTCATGTAGGCAGGGTAGGCTGTGGGGTATGAGGAACTCACGGGCCTCCCAAGCGCCGCTGGGTACTGCTCCCGAGCCAGCATCGCGCCCTGAAAGGCGCCGCTGTCCCGGGTCCCAGTGCCGCCTCCGGGTCCCGGGGAACTGTGCGCAAAGGGGAAGGCAGTGGTCCCCGGCGGCGGAGCGGCCGGTGGGTGGGGGCTGCCGGAGCCAAACGCTGACGAGTCTGCCGCGGCTGCCTGCGCCCAGCTGGGGTGCGCGGTAATTGCGGGAGCCTGCGGGCCAGGTTCGCACGCCGGCAGGTAGGGCAACATGGAGGGGACCCGCGCGGGCGGCACGAACACCGGGGAGCCGGCGCCCGGCGTGTGCAGAAAGGCGCCTGAGTCCCCGTAGGCGGTCTGACTGGGGTTCGGGGCCAGCGCCAGGCTCTGGTACATCTTCCCTGGCGTGGCCTTGACCTGCAGACTAGAGGGACGGGCGTCCGGGTCACGGCCACTGTGCCCCACAGGTGCTGTCGCTCGGGTCGCGCTTTTGGATCCCCAGCTGGGAGGTTCCTGGGGCGGGAATCCGCGGGGACAGGATAGCCGGGGGCAGGGTCGGCTCGAGCGGCCCGTGGGGCATCCGGGCGCAGCCATAACGCGGAGCTCACCTCTTTCACAGCCGGGGCTTCCGAGGTTCCCAGGTGGGCTCAGTGGGCGCAGAGAAGGAGAAACCGGCGGGTCCGCAGGGCGCAGGCTCTGGGCTCTGGGAGAAGGAGCCCGGCTGGGTAGGGGCGAGCGGCCGGGCCCGGCTGCGGTACTCGCCCGCTGGTCGTGGGGATCCGAAGGCGCGAGGGCGCGGCGGGCGGCGGGCTGCAGTCTGAAAGCCGGGGTCCTTGCAGTTTCGCGACCCGGCTCCTCGGCCGCCCCTCGGCACAGCTCCGCCCGGACCTGGCCCGCCCCCGCCGCGCCGCCCCTTCCCTCCCGGGGGCCCTCCCCTCCCTCCCCGCGGGGTCAGAGCCAGGGCTGCGGCCTCGGTGCCACGTGACCGAAGCAGGCCGGGCGCTCGGGGCTCCGCGGGAAAGGCGACCGGACGCACACGGCACGGGGCAGACAGCGCTGAGTCCTTGCCAACGCGGGCAACACGAACCAGCCAGGTGCTCGGCGCCGCCTACCCGGAGGAGCTCCGACGCCGAGACTTCTCTAAATGTGTTAGGGCTTTTGAAGCCCTCCTTCCTGATGGGTGTTAATGGCGGGCTGCCGCTAAGGCTGGTTTAGTGGCTGGGGCTGCGGTGGATGCGTCTGTGACCCTGGCTTTGCAGCGATCATGGATATGGTGGTGCGCGGACTTCTCATTGCGCCCTTGGTCTGGGGCCCTTAGCGGGCATCTGGCTCCCAAAGTGACAGCCCAGCCCAGCTCCGTTCCCTTCCATGGCCACTGCACCCGCGAAGTCCTGTGGGAGTCCCGCAGCTTCCTCAGTGACCAAACAGGGCCACTGTCCCCTCTCATTCCCTGCTGGGGACGCAGGTCGGGCTGGCAGCCTCTGTCTGGAGGCACTTCCATTCCCCAAGGTCCTTGCCTCCACCCCTTGGTGGGGGGACTTTCACTGTGTGGGGAATTCTCAAAGAGTCTCCTTAAAGCACTAGAAATGTGGGAAGGGTGTGAGGCCACTCGGGTCTGGAGGTGGCCACTGGCACTCCCTGGGTGAGCCCCAAGGTGCCAGCACCCTGGTGAAAGCGGCCTCCGAGCAGCTTCGCTAACTGATGACCCAGCCTCCCACCAGGACGTGCTCTCCAGCCACCTTACAGCAGGCGCTGGACCACCAGCCCTGGGAGCAGGGCTCACTGGAGGGCCTTTGGCTGCTGCACTTGGGACAATGAATGTTTTTCGTTTGCAGAAATGGGCAATCACCTCCACCATTGGTCCAGGTACTCTCCACCTGTGGAGGGGTGGGCACTCGCTCATCTTCTTCTACTCCAGCACAAGACTAGAATTTGGGGTCCACATCGGGTCATCTAAGGCCCCTGGAAGATGGCAAGCAAGGGCTCCACACTCACCTGGGCGGGGGACCCCATGGAAGTTTCCCCACAGGCTCTGGATTCTTCAAAAGCCTAGGCATGTGCCATTGGGAGGGGGCTTGGGGGTCTTCATTATCCCCTTTACTCTTCACTCCCAGTGCTTCCCTCACACTCACCCATACCAGTCTCTGCCTCCTCTCCCACCCTTAGGGCCCCTGGGTCCACACCACCCCAACGGGCTTCCCTGGTACCCACTCCCCACGTGCTCCCGCCTGTCTGAACCAAACCCTCCTCACCCTATCCCCTGCAGACCCGGCCAGTGGATCTCATCTTTCTCTCTTCCGAAGTGGGCGGGGCAGGAGAGGGGGCGGGGGTCCTGGAAACTCACCTTGCCAAGGCCCCCAGGGCTCTTGGATGCACATCTCCCTGGGGAGGTTCACCAGCGGCAGGGAAGCCAGTAGAACCCCTGCCGTCTCTGCGGCCCTCACTGCCTCCCCCTCACATTGGCTTGGGGAGGAGTTAGTGTGACTGGGTCCTTTGGTGTCTCCTTGGGACTCGCATTCCACTGGCACCAGACAGAGGCCAAGGGGGAGCCAGGCGGGGGGAGCAGAGGGCTGGGGCCCCAGGGTCTCAGCTGCAGCAGAGGAGGCTGTGGAGCTCGGTGATGGACCCTGAAATCAGGGCTACTGGGATGGGTGAAAGAGACAGGAGATGGAATTTCTACCTGGAGGTCAGTCCTGATTAGCCCTCCCTGAGCTCCCTCTAGGAGCTAACGCTAGGTTAGCTCTGGGTTCACTCTGGGAACCTAACCAGAGTCTGGGGGAGTGGGGACCCTACCCATATCTCTCAACCCGGGAGATAAGAGAGTTGGCTTGTTAACCCCGTGGTGACCAGGCAGAGCCGAAATCCATGATTCCAGGTCCTACAGGGGCTGCATGAGGGGCCTTAGGCAAAGTGAGGACCAGGGCCTGAGTGGCTGGGGGATTGGGTCCTGGGGTGGGACAGGCCCTCCCAGCCAGCTGGACTCTGGGGGTCATTTGTGCAGCAGCTGCCTCTTCCCAGCCCAGAGCTTGGGAACCCCTCACTCAGACACTTGCATCAGAAAGGAAAACAGACCTCCTGGGGAAATAAGGAGGGGGCGGGGCCTCCGGACCAGCCCCCAGGAGGGACTCAGACCTCTCCCTGGGCGCCTCAGGGCCACCCTGGGGCAGTGCCCAGCAGCCAGCCCCTTAGGGCGCAGCTAGCTGTCTGGATCACCTGCCAGAGCTCTCCCTCCAACCCCAGCCTCCCAGGGTCTGCCCTTCCTATAGGTGGGGACTCAGCAAGGAGCCCCGGGCTGGCTGGGTGGGGCCTGGGGTGGGGACAGGCTGGGAGGTTAGAGGAATTCTGTGTCCTCCCCCAGGTATTCAGATAAGCCCCATGCCCCCTCCCTTCTGGGTAGGAAAAACCAGTTCAAAGTCAGCCTCACCTCTGCCTTCTGCACTCTGAGGCCCCTCTTCCCTGACCTGGGGTGTCTGCTGACTCCTCCTGCCCCTTGGGGAGAATGAGGTGGGGTCCAGGTGGAGGGTTCCAGGGCCTCTCCAACCCCAGCAGGAACTTCAAAACTCAGCATGGTGAGGCAGGTTGGGGTGGGGACTCTCCAGAGGTACAATGGGGAGGGGCTGGGGGGCCACGTGGGTGTACAAGTCACTGTGGACACATAGGTGTGTGCACCTCTCCTGCAAGGAGGGCTGAGCTCTGGAGCCCAAGGCTGCCTTGGGCTGCCTGCCCTTCTGGGGAGCTCAGAGCTGGAGGGAGGGGCAGCAGCTGCAGGGGGAAGGGCCCCCCATTGGCACCACTGTCACTAGGTTTCCTGAGGGTCTCCCACACACCTGACTGGGCCCGGAGCTTCTGTGTTTTGACTCTAAGGCTCACGGCTGCCTGGTGAGTGGGGGCGATTCCTGTGAGCGGTCGCGCCACGTCATAGATGAGAACCAGGGCCAGGCCTGGCGGGGGCCAAAGGCTGGAACCCCACTCCGGGGGACTCTTGGACCTGCTCTGCTCTGTCCACTGCGTCTCCTCGGCCCTTGCTGTCCGCCTGCTCCTCTGGCCACTGCCCCCAACCCTGGTCCATGACTGGCTCTTCTAGAGCCTGCATTTCTAGGTCCTCAGCCCTTAAAGGGTCCATGTGGTTGGGTGGGGGCGTCATCACTCACCCTGTCCCCAGGCTTAGTGGAGGGAGACCCCGGCCTTACACACAGCTTGCCCTGAGAATGACCCAGCTGGACCTTGAGGTGGCTGCCGAGAAAAGGGGAGCAGAAAATGGAAATAGAGCTCACAGGCGCTGTGTCATTTTTGTAACCCAGTCTGGTCTTGCAGGCCTTCCCGGCTGGGTCACCAGACAACCCTCATGAGAGTGAGGGGTCCTCCGGGGAGAGACTCAGGGAGCTTGTTCTGGGGGAGACATAATCACACTTGTGCAAGTCATCTCCCCGTCTGTTGTCGGGAGCAAGCCGGTGGCTGTAGAGATGGTGAATGTCCTGTCACATGGTGAGATGTTTTCCACCAGCTTCCAGGCCCCGGAGTTCCCGCAGAGGGAGGGTATAGAGCCACAGCCCAGGCACATGGACAGAGAGACAGCCGGCTGTCTGACCCCTGGTAGGGGGGTGATGCAGGGATCTCTGCCCCCCACCCTGCCTGGGTTCCAGTGAGGATGGATATGTGGACAGATGGCTGGTGCAGGCAGGCTCCTTCCGTCTGTTACCTGTAAATTACTTCACCTGAGTGACATCATGCTGGGGGCTGGTAACCAGGCTGTGCCTGGTCATAAAACAGCCTGACATGGTGATGGACAGCTGCACATCAGATCCGCTGGCCCGACCTTGAACAAGGTCATGCAGGCCCCTGGCCTTCCATGGCAGCGGTTCCCTGACTTGAACGAGGTTGTGACCCCCGGGCCCTCTGTGGAAGTGGGTCTCTGACTTGAAGAATGAAAAGCAGAGGCTGCTATGGGATTGATGCTTGGCTGTCACGTGGTACACGTGGCTCCCTGGCCTTTGACGGCCCTACCAGCAGCAGGCTTCCCCCTTGTCCTTCCTGGGATCTCATTTTGCTGCCAGCTTCTCAGGATTCAGGATGGTTGTTTATCTCCCCCCTCCCCAAAGGGTTAACACCCTCTGATAAGCAGGGCAGCCAACACCCCCCTCCATGTCCTGCTGGACGGTTTCTCGGACATTGCAGATGCATAGGGAGCTGTAACCACACATTAGAAGCAGCCCAGGTGGTTGGGGGTCTCAGGAAACTAACCTGCAACTCTGTCTCGGGGGCCACCCTGGGTGAAGGGACGGGTCCTCCACTGGGGTCGTCTGTCCCCCACGCCCTCCCCAGAGACACCTGTTCCTGTTATGCCTTCCCAGAAATGCACTGAGCTCATACAAGAAAACATGTGTGCAGCACATGCACACGGGGGTGCCCGCACACACACAAACATGCTAGAGTGCCCACCCGAACACGCACACACACGAGTGCACACTAGTGACATGCATGTGCACACGCAGGCACATGTATGTACCCACCCATGCTTGCATATTTCCTTCTTCACAGACACAAAATCTTTCAGGGAAACCCCAGAAGATCAAACACCCAGAAGACCTAGGATGGCTCAGAAAGCACCTCGCCTGCCTCCCCCCAGCCCCCAACTCTCCCTTTTCATTTCCAAATTGATGTCTGCTGGCAGGGCTGGGAAAATTCACAAGTGGGATCCACTCTAGCAGGTGATGAAGCCGGTTGTCTTCATTTCCCACTGAGCCATCATTTCCCCAGTATGGAGCTGCTGCTCTGCTGCTTGTGGAGAAGACCTCGGCCCTGAAGAAGCTTGTAAGTGATGGTGACCGAGGGCCTGGTGCACCTCCC